CTATGTTTATCAGGCCATGTCCACCATCTTTATGTGAAAGGGTTAACTTTTCTGTGGCAGATTTAGGATGTTGTTGTTTATGCTTAGTAAGTGTTGTTCTTACATTCCTTTGGAGGTGCTCAAGATCTGCTTGAGTCCAATTTATAACTCCAAAAGAATGAGTGAGTACTGGGACGACATGTGTGTTAAATGCAAAACAAAAAGTTAAAGCAATAAACTGTATTCTGAGCATAGCATTTAACCTACTTTGGTATTCTTTAATTAATCTTTGCTTTATTTGTGTATGTTCTGTTAGTTTGGCCTGTTGGAATCCTAAATACTAGTAGAACTCACTCTCTTTGGATACAAATTTGTGCAGAATATCCTCCCATTTTCAGCAGCAATGCAAAATTTGCTACCTTTTGCTAGTACATATTTGTGTGAAAAAGGGTTCTCAACTATGGTCGATATGAAAACAAAAAACGCAATTGATTGCGATTAGATGTCTGCATGCAGATAGCATTAAAAACAATTGAACTAAGAATTAACAAATTAGTTGAGGATATTCAGCAGCAGAAATCTCATTAAATTATTTTTGAATATTTTTTGTTTTTTCTATGAATTTTTAAATGTTTATTATTTTATTTTTTGTTAAAAATTAATGAGTTTTTATGTTTAACTGTGAAGTTTCAATGTTATTTAAATTGATAATGACATAATAAAGTTATGTTTTACATTTATTATATAAAAAAATAAAGCAATAATAATAAAAAACAATTTATTATAGATAATTTAACAAATATAAATAATTTTTTTGTGACCCCATTTTTTTAATGATGATAAAATATTTGGTGGGCCATGAGTATAAAAAGGTTAAGAACCACTGCTATAACTACCAAGAGCTTGCAAACAAACACAAATTATTAGACATCCATGAAACATACTACAAATACTTTCCACAGATAGTACATTTTGTGCATGTTGTTTTCCAATACTATTACAGAGACATAATCACAGATAAAACAATTTACCACGAAAGACCAGACATTGACAAACACAATAAAATCACATACATTATAGACATATCCATTCCAAACACTGACAATATAACAACTGAACTTCCTATCAAATACTGGAGGTAATATACTTCCTTCTACCTGTATAAAAACCTTCCAAATCTCCAGTGATACTCGTTTAAGCAAACGTTTCAACCCTACCAGGGTCTTCATCAGGCCACCGTTATAAAAATTCAAACAGTGCGAAATCAAACAGGAACCAAATAAATGCGATTCAAATCTTTGAACGTCAACGTTAATATCAAAAATAGAACACCACACTCTTGTAGCGATGTCGTCAAAGCAAGTGCAAGTTGCGCGTGCTTTGACGACATCGCTACAAGAGCTGTTTGAATTTTTATAACAGTGGCCTGATGAAGACCCTGGTAGGGTCGAAAACGTTTGCTTAAACGAGTATCACTGGAGATTTGGAAGGTTTTTATACAGGTAGAAAGAAACTGACAATATACAAAACACATGCACTGAAAAAATTAGCAAGTACATAGACCTCGCCCAGGAAATAAGACATACTACAAATACTTTCCACAGATAGTACATTTTGTGCATGTTGTTTTCCAATAATATTACAGAGACATAATCACAGATAAAACAATTTACCACGAAAGACCAGACATTGACAAACACAATAAAATCACATACATTATAGACATATCCATTCCAAACACTGACAATATACAAAACACATGCACTGAAAAAATTAGCAAGTACACAGACCTCGTCCAGGAAATAAGACATCTATGCATAAGGTGCTTATTGTACTTGTCATTCTATCCTCTACAGGTGTCATACCACACACATTACACAAAAGCCTGGGAACATTACAATTGAATAGAAACAGATACATCACACTACAGAAGGCTACTATACTGAATACATGTCATATTGTTAGGAAATTCCTGAATACACACTTCTTTAATTTCTGTTTTGTTTTGGTTACTATGCCTTGACTCTGGTCTGGCATAGTACACGGCCACTGCTGTCAACTGTGTATAACTCACTAAACCCAACATAATAATAATAATATGTGCAGAGACTAAATGACTAGGAGTTGATCATTAAAATTTGGTACATAGTTAGGATACGTCATGAGAATGTACATGAAGGAAATTTTCAAAATTTCCCCCCGGGGAGAGGAGAGGGTTAATTACAAAGTTGTTCTTTTCATTTATTTAGCTCGTTTCTTAAAAAATCTTATTTAAATTTACCAGATAATAATAGAAAATTTATTTAAATTATTATTTAAATAATTTTATATAACAGTATATAAGGTATATAACCTTATATACTTATATATATTTGTGTTATATATAAATCATATATAAATAAATAAAGTATATAAGTAGAAAAGTCCCAAAGAACAGTTGATATCTACCTCAAAATTAACAAATATACATAAAAACAAAGACAACAATTACATAAAATTAAAAATATATTACATTACACATTAAATACAATATAAATTAAAACAATAAAGTATAAAAGTTATTTCAAATAATTTGTTTTTGAAGAACTGCTTTTCTTTGATGTGCTTTGATGCTCTTCTGACATACAATAACACTGGACAACAAAAAAAATGTTTTTGAATGTTTCCTTTATTTCATGAGTGAAATCTTACTAATTTTGGGGTGAGAAAATTGAATATGACAAAGAAAAATTTTTATTAGCTCTAGTTTCTGTGGTATACAATAGGCGATTTTAACAGCATTAGAGAAAACGATACATTTTAATTACATGTGCTAACAACACTGAAAGTGCTTTTGAATTTTTTTAAAATTACAGTAACATTCTAAGAGTTCTAAATTAATAGAAGAATACCTGGCAGGTGGTTTGGTGTAAAGAGAATCATGTGGTGACTTCATGAGATTGTTTTCTTTTGGCTTGCCTCTTGTGAGTGAGTTCTGGTGCATCCCTATACACAGACCAGCAGTAATCCGCAAGCATTGCTTCATTCCAATGGCCCTGATATCTTTGTTCCAATACAGAAATATCCTGGTGGAATCTTTCCCCATGTTCATCACTGATAGCTCCACAACTAGGAGGGAAAAAGTCTAGGTGGGAATGGAGAAAATGGATTTTGAAGGACATGTTGCATCTGAGTTGATGATATTTTTCCAGAAGTATTGTCACCAACTGAGTGTAGTTATCATCTCTTTTGTTGCCTAAGAATCCATGAATAACTCCCTTTAAGGCTTCCCAAGCTTCCTTTTTCTTTCCCTCCAAAACATCCTTTACAAGTTTTTGAATTTGTGACCCAACAAAAATACCTTCCTTAATCTTTGCATCACTCAATCTAGGAAATTTCTCTCTTAAGTACTTAAATGTCTGTCCTTTTTGGTTCATACCTTTGACAAAGGTTTTCATTAAACTCAACTTGATATGAAGAGGTGGAAGAAGAACGTCTTTTGGGTCCATGAGAGGCTCGGCAACGATATTTTTCTTGGTAGAGTCAAGATTTCTTGCAGGCAAGTCCGCTTGAATGTAATGTAATTTCCTCTCCCTACTGTCCCACATACATAAAAAGCAACAGTATTTAGTGTACCCAGTTGCATTCCTAAGAGTACAGCGATGACTTTTAGATCACCACATTTTCCACTTGTGCTCAGCATAATTGATTGAGTCAAGGAGGGCTGTCATGTTTGCATAAATATATATTCTATAATAGCGTGTAGTTTTATTATATGCTGATCTCAGGAGTTTTACAGGAAAAATGCCAATGAAAATTTGAAATAATTGGAGATGCACTATTTTGTAATGAAACATTTTTTTTACAGATTTTACTATAAAACCTCTCTCATATATTTTGTATTATTTAGATTATGTCAATCATTTTAAATTATAATTTAAAATGAATAAAAGCTTTAAATCTTTTGTGGACCATATTTTAGCTCTTGCAGACCACTGGTTGGGAACTGCTGCTCCAAAGCAAGAGCTAATCGGTCATTTTTATAGTGATTTTTGAATTCAGCAGATGAAAATACATAAGAATATACTAATTTTGAGCCTGAAACAAAATCATTGTCGTCCAGTGTAATTAATGATGCTACAGTACATTGTCCTAAAACATTTCCTAAGTTGGAAATAACTTGTAACTCATAAGTCTTAACCATATTTATATTTATATATATTTTACCAATATTTACAAAAAGTAGCAAGCATACAATTTAGTGGATACTATTTATTTATAAGCATGGGAAAATTTTTAAGTTTATTTCACCCAGTCAACCATCACCCATTGTGAATTGCACAGTTGACCATCGCCTAGTTGTCATGTACTCAAAATTCTTCATTAGCTCTAACTACCATCCTATGTATAAAATTTATATTTAATTCATATAAAGTTATTTTTTATATATTAGTTTTGATGAATGACTCCAAAATGAAAACAAAGACATGCAAGTAATCAATTTCTTTGCACAACGTTAACAATAAAAATATTTATTCTCATTCAAATAATTCTTTTAAAATGCAAAGTGGTGTTTAAAAACATTTATTGTTTTTTCCAAATGTCTTTATTTTTATAACTTTAAATCTAAAAACACTTCTTATCATAAAGAATCACAAAAATATTTCAATTTCTAATACAGTAGAGCGTCGATTATCCGAATCAATTGGGGACTGGGGTTGTCTGGAAAATCAACATTTTGGATAACTGATTATGTACAAAAAATACATTAATTAATCCCATGTTGAAATTTTTCTCCGTTGCGTGTCACTCCGCGTTGAATTTTCGTCGATATTAAACCTAATGTAAACTTTTTAAAATAATAATCGTGGCTATTGTATCATTAAAAATTATTTCTTTATTTTTTACAAACAAAATAAATATATTGAAAATAAAAACAAAAAAAAAATTATACTTTAAAAGTTAATCTAGTATCAAAAACGTTTGATTCAGTACGACACACAGTCCTCAGAAATACACCACACAAAGTGTCAGTGCTGCCAGCTAAAACACACATCAACAAAAAAAATATTAGTAGCCCAAGACATAGCCAAAGATTTCAGCGCCACAGCACTAGCAAAAATTTAAATTTGCCGACTGGAATTCTTTCGGATAACCGATTCTCTACTGTACCATGCTGGCCAAACTGCCACTTGCAAGCAATATACAGCTCTTCTACATTCTACTGCAGTTCTTGTATACTTATGCAATCTTTTCATAAACTTCGTACATATACTACTTATACACATGTAATACTTTTTGTAAGTTTGCTGATTATTTGTAGTTTGATATATATATGAATTGCATCTTATCCTTGAACAGGCAATTAAAAACTGAGAGTATGTTTGTACAAATGGAATCTTAAGATTTTAAGCAGTTAGTGTCCCAAACCTTCTACCAGTAACAAACAAAGAAACATTGATATGTACAGTACTTAGATAAAAGAAAAATTTAATTTATATTAAACCTACTTTCTCAAACTTATTTTACAAGCCTTTTTTTACATGTATCCAAATGTATGTATTATTAGGATTAACTTAACAATGATATTTAGTAGAATAATGACAACCATAGTATTTTAGCTATATATATATATATTACACACTATATAAAGTAGCATTCAAGTAGAGAATACAGCTCTCTTGTATTTCTGTTAGGTGATATATGGCTCCTATTGTGACAAGGTTTGGCCAACCCTGTATTACCACTGTTCTAATATATCTACACAAAAAAGTTTCCCTATCAAAAGAATATATAGGCTAATTTGTTTTTTGGCTATAAATTGAACATGCTGCAACTTTTAAAAACAAAAATAAGTTTACAAAAATTATATTTTTTTTTTATTCATATCATATGTCAAATTTTATAATAATAATAATTTAAACAAGCATTTATAAACATAAGTTATATTTCAGCATTCTTTATTTGTAATGTTTTAAATTACTGTATTCATTCTTCAGTTATTTAACTGTTTAAAGATCTGAGATGAGCCATCATCCAATCGAATCCTAGGGACAGATTTTTAAGGCATTCTACGGACACTAGACATATCTAGATATACAAAAATTTGTATATGTAAGTTTCTTGATGTATTTTATTTACCTAATCATGAATTTAAACTGTTAAAATCACTTATATTTAAATATCTATAGAATTACAATAAAATTGAATACAAAAAAGTCAAAAATATTAAAAGTAGATTGAATAAACCTTAATTTTTCAATATTAATTAATTACAAATGTAAATTTTAATTTTTACTGATTGATTTGTTAAAATAAAGTTCCATCACATTACAAACCATTTGACTGGCTTAGAACTGTTTGTAATAGAGATAATTAAGACACAAACTAATATTTTTACTAATTAAAAATTATTCAAAAGTTTTTACCTACTGTATTTTCATAGATTGACTGGAATGTCAGTCTATCCAGATACAGAAATATCTGATTTCGTGATTTTGTATGGTAAAAAACTGGCATGCTGGTTTACCCCAGGGATTGCCAGCATGATGGTTTAGGTGAGGTTACAGTATACATCCTTCTTCAAAGGGTTCGTGAAAAAAGGGGGCAAATGAGTTAGGTCATGTGGCATCTCAGATGCCAATTTTTGTTCTAAAATTGTGAAACTATTGGCATCACATCAAAAATTACAATTATATGTTTAAATTCTGCATTTTGTCCTCTTTCTAACAATGTAAAATACTCATGAAATGCTATTGAAAGTGATTTTTTTTTTTTGTGCTTATTTTATTGTAATTTGATCCAAAAACACAAAATATAAATATCAAATTTCAGAAACTCACTGTAAATTATCTCAACTTTCACAAATTGACATTGGATTTGTTTATAATTGGAGAGTGATAAAGTTTTAATATCCTAATTTTGAAAAATCTATTACTTTTACCACATATTGTGGGTGCAGCCTGCACCACCACCTACTGGTAATTGTTTTACTACCCTGTAAACAACTCTCTTCCCAGTTGTAAATTGGTCAAATTATAATATTCTATTGTACTTGGAAGAATGTTTTCTTTAACATTTAACAATTAGTTTTGTCAGATCCAATTGTGCTGCAATTTGAAAAAATTGTAGACCTATAAACTTCCACTGTTGTCTATCCACCTGTCTTTCCTTGATCTCAAGAATGGAGTTAGATACAGTGGTACCTCAGGATATGAAATTAATCCATTCCGAAACTGAGATCGTATCATGAAAATGTCGTAAGGTGAATCATTTTCCCCCATACGATTACATGTAAAAACCAAATAATTCGTTCCAACATGAAAAACACACTCAAATTAAAGCTAAGTAGCACATTAAAAAAATAATAACTATAGTAAGGAAAACACTGAAAAATGCATTTTGTAGTTGTAAATGTATAAATAACCATAATAGAATAATAATTGATTAAAAAAAAATGTAGTTTTATTTGCACTTTACCTTTGAGGATAGACAATGTGGAGGTGTAAACTGGTGGTGGAAGAGAGGAAGGGAAATGATACTAAAACTTAACTTACATAACATAATGTAACAATAACTTAAAAATAACTTAAAAAAGATTTTTTAAAAATTAGTGTTGTTTTATATACAGTAGAGCGTCGTTTATCCGAATCAATTGGGGTCTGGGGTTGTTCGGATAACTTATTTTTCAGATAACCAATTATGTACGAAAAAATATATTAATTTATCCCGTGTTGAAATTTTTCTCCATTGCATGTAGCTTCGTGTTGAATTTTCGTCAATGTTAAGCCTAATGAAGACTATTGTATCATTAAAAATTATTTTTTTATTTTGTACAAATAAAATAAATATATTGAAAAATATAAAAACAATAAAAAATTATACTTCAGAAGTTAATTTAGTATCAAAAACATAAAGTATTTGAGTAGCCGAAGACATAGCCAAAGATTACAGCACCACAGCACTGGCGAAAATTTAAATTTGTCGACTGGAATTCCTTCGGATAAACGACGCTCTACTGTATTTATAATTTTTAAAAATTTTTATTTACTGTTTTTGCTTTTTTTCCTTCACTTCCACCAGCACTTTCACTGGATAGAGGTTGCTTGGTAAAATATCTATCCAAAGAGGTTTGGCTTTGCCTACTTTTTAAAATGTTTCTAAAATGACTTAGGCAAATGTTATTACTCTGAGCAGCAATATGGCCAGTATGAACCTTTTCAGGATGTTTCTTTTCAATAAAATTAGTCACTTTCTGATAATACCTCAAGATTTCCTTTATCGAGCAAGATCCACGAGGAAGCAAACACGCGGACTGAGACCAATGAACAGAAGTGAATAAAAAATGGCACTGTGAACTAATGTAACGTCATATGGTGAGTTTTTGTTCGTATTGTGGAGCAAAAATATGTTTGAATTTCATGTCATATCCTGAAAATTTCATATGCTGGGGCATTCATATCCTGAGGTACCACTGTAGATGAAAAACAAGACCAGATATGGAAAGCTTAGGGGTAGGAGACTCCAATTAGCTATATATGAACTCCCAATGCAAACCAGAAGTAACATTATTTTGATTCAAAACTTTCCCCTGAAAGGAGTTAATAAATGACAGGCATGACCATTATTAACAGAAACATATGCTGTATTGGGGCAAGCCACTACTAATTTAAGGTGGAGAGCATATATTTTAAATTAAATAAATTAAAAATATGAATAAAATTTACAGCCCAGCATGCCATCAACAATGATGGCACAAGATTGAGAGAACATGAGGTAAATGACAGATCATTTTCAATCATTGTTCTCTAGCTTTAATTTGTGTATTCAAGTTTTATATTATAAACAACCAGCTATTATATCTATATCTATATATATATATTAAAATAGACATGTGTGTCCCTATATTTCACTTTTCAGCCAAAACTACACATCACACATGAATGGTGTTTGTATGGGGTAGTAGCCCCAAGTCTCCATTCGTGCACTATGGTGGTTGTGTCTCGATAGCTATAAGGGTGTATGTGGGAGTTTATGGGAGTTTAAAGTGGTTGACTTCGAAGATTTTCTATTTCAATTTTAAAAATGTTCAAACCGTTTTAAATTTGAATTCAAATTCGAATTGGTTCGATTATAGAATGATTGTAAACGTTCCAGAAAATTGATCAAATTGAAAATAGTTCGTTTGACTGGACGTAAAAATTCTCTAATTAGTCTGGAAACGGGGGACTTAATTCTTGCATTCTGTGCTATAAGGGTGTGGGAGATAAGAGGTTGAAAGTGGTTGACTTCGAAGATGTGTAACAATGGAAGTGTCAACAATAGAAGTGTTAACAATGGAAGTGTTGAGTAACAAAGGAAGTGTTAATATAAAGCGGCATGCAAGATTTACAGGTGGTCTTTTGCATTTTTGCGGGAAATCGAACATATTTTTAGACTCATGTAAAAATTCTCTAATTAGTCTGAAAACGCGTAAGATTGGCTATAATGTAATTATCTTAATCTTCACTATCGTTACTTTTTGCCCAGTGAAGCGGGTCCTTGCAGCTACATTCTAGATTACTTAGAAAAACAGTCTTTTATATATATATAAAAAACCTATATTACATACAAATAAAAACCCAGCGAAGCGGGACCTTGCAGCTAGTGTTATATATAAACTTCTCACTTTAATGAAAGAAAACAGTCTGACCATCAATTAGACAGTTTTTCCTTCTTGTTATATGCATCAGCCCTATAGATTATAAGTTAATCTAAACAATAAAAGAGTGACCTTTGAAAGTTTAACTTTTCTTTTAATCATCTTGTATTTCACTAAGTTATTTCTGGCAAGTAGATATGACTAAGCCACAAGTTAGTGGCTTGTGAAGAGTCAGTAGGTGCCACAAATTTTATTATTCAGAGTTTCAAATGTCCTCTCAAGACCAAAGCACAAATTTTAAACATTTAAGTGTTTCTTACAATATGCAGCAGGGCATTCATTAACAAGCATAGTCAGCTCATGGCATTACTAAGTCAGGACCATTTTAATCATCAAACATAATAGGCATATACTTAGAGCCTGGGAAATTACACTCATTGCCATAAAAATTAGCACACCAGGAAGGAGTTGTCAGAATTGAACAAAATTGTACATGTATGAGTGTAATGGTGATATAAGTAAGTGAATACAAAATGAAAGCAAAAGGAAAAACTACATTTACTGCAGGAAAAATAACAAATGAAAGGAGATTCTAGCATCCTGTTGGGCCACCTTTAGCATCAATACATGACAGCATGCAATAGAGGTGGGCATGGAGGCATACAGGTGCTGCATGGTATCCTGCTGCATCTCAGTCCACAATTGCTACAAGCAGTTCTTTAGTTTGGCCAAACTCCTAGACCAGGGGTGATGAACCTGTGGCATGTAATGAGAAATCATCTGGCATGTAACATATCATTTAATTTCAATTTATTATATCTGTCTTTTTCAATAATCCTGTTTTCAATCAACTTTTTTACATTTATTCTAATTAAAGCATATTACCTTGATTTCTTTAAATATCGTTATTCGAAGTCTGAAACTTTGATACACATAAAGATCTTTAAAGCTAAGTATGCTTACAGTATGACATGCAGACTTTTTCATTCATTGATTGTTTTTATTGCAAACAGCAGACATGCAGACTCAAAAAGGTTTACCATCCCTGTCCTAGACTGTGACTTGGCATCCCAGGTGATTCCAGACATGTTCAATTGGTGACAAATTGGAGGACTGGCAGGCAAGTGAAGTGTGGCAATGTGGCAGAGGTAATCCCATGACACTCTTGACATGTGATCAAGCATTCTCCTGTTGGAAAATGACTCCTGGGACCCCTGTCACAAGAGGCAACACATGTGGCTGCAGGATGTCATTAACATACCATTGGGCTGTCATGGACCCTTGGACCATTACTAGAGGTGACCAGCTTATCATATATGATGACACTCCAGACCATCACACTGGCAGTAGTATGGTGTGCCGCTCCAAAGTGTAGGGAGGATTGAGGCATTCACTACAAACATAGCTATTGTCAGTGCCCAAACTGAATCTGAATTCGTCACTGTAGATG